AGCAACTATTTTCTTCCCAAGTTAGCATCACATTGGATATGGGCTGAACTTGTCCTGGATTGGAATTTTTTCGATAATTTCCCTAGGAGGAGTTCGCAAAAATGTGATTAAAATGCATGAAAAACGCACATTTTTCAAAACGGCCGACTTTCTGGGGGGCGGGGCTAATGGAAGCAAATTAGAAATATGTCCGCAATTCCATGAGGAATGTCTGTGCCAAGATTCGTGAAGTTCGGAGAAACTATATGTGACTACCACACAATAGGGGGCGCTACTGAGCTGTTTTAAACAAGTTTTTGAGTTATACATTTTTGGTGTTTTTGACGCCCCCTATTGTCCAAAATGAAAACGCTTTGGTGTGCCAATTCCCCAAGACAGACTGAACCTATCCACCAAAATCTGTGATATTTCGATACATTGTTGATGAGTATGAGTATTTATTTCTAAGCCCCGCCTTTTTGCGAATACGTTTTGATTAATGGCGGCCATATTTTTCGACTGAACATGCTCATTTCCTACGGTAATGTGTCTGACACTCCACCGATGCTGTACACTAAGTTTGGTGTTGAAAAACAATAAATTGAAATTTAAGTTAACATTTCACTGTTTTTAACATTATGCTAATTAAATAAAATTAAAGTAGGCGGAGCGTAGGGGTCCAAGAGGATTATTTGTAGAGCAGGTCGAGACGGATAAGTGTGCAAAATGTCAGGTCATTCGGACTTACGGTGCGACTTTGTAAATGTTTCCGAAATGGGATTTTCCTAGGTGGCACTAGCGAGCATGTTGGTCAATTTGAACCCATTGACTCCAGAATGTCACATTTTTCACCGGTCTCGGCGTCCGTGCAAAATTATACAACTTTTGGCGCATCCTAATGCCCTCAAAAACAGGAAACGGCAGCCGTATAATAATTCCTACAATAACAATAGGTTCCTCGCACTTCGTGCTAGGACGCCGTTGGGTCCTAGCGCTCTCGTGCTCGGGCCCTAATAACCATAGTGTGAATGTGCATCAGACACGAAGCTTCACACGGTTTCACATTCAGATTTATGGTTTCGGACGCTGATGTATTTTCGGGTTTGTTCACGCTGTGTGGTATAAAAGGTTTCATGTAACACTAACAACTGTCAAACCACAAAATATTCACAACCACAGGGCAACATGATAGCAGAGACAGAAAAACAAAATAAAAGTACTGAGATCTTGTTTTGACTGCTGGGCCCAGCTTCTAGCCAAAGGGTGACACAATTAGATCTGAATTTATATGAATAATTGTGCAAAACAGAGAATACCATGCTTAATCGCTATGTTATTTTTCATATTACACCAGTGGAATTTAAAAATGTAAAAAAGAAAGTAAAAGTGATATAGATATGAGTAAAAAAGAGCAATAATATATTTTTTATCATTAATATCTTTATTAACTCCAAGGGTTAGGGTTAGGAAGTTAGGTGTATGCATATTATGGGGTTTATGTATAGGATTTCGTAACCTGCCCTTTCATATTATTTATCATTGTTAATTTTGAAGTGAATTTGTACATAAACCTTCATGTAAAAAAAAAAAGTGGATATTTGCTACTGAATTTCCTTAAAAGGTCAATTCAACATAAAGGTAAAATAAAAACAAGTATTTTTTGTCATGTTTGACCAAGCCCACTTTTCCAATAGAATCATTCAATTAAAGTTGAAAACATCTTCGAACAAATCTTAGTTGATTCAAAAGAAAAAGCCCAATAACTTATTCAGATAACAAGCTTGAAATAGGCCCTTCATTTCCCTTTATTATGAGCAATCTGAGGCTTCTGTTTTAAGGAATGAGCTGCCAACACTGATGTAGGCTGTTTGTTTCTTAACCTGTTAAGCCCCGAGCCTGTTTTTCAGGTTTCAGGCTCGAAAATGACATGCCCAAAACAAATGACAACTTAACTTGTAAAAGGGTTATATGAATAATTTATTTTATCAAAGCAAGGTTACATCTGTGAGTTGGATGTAGAAGTGTCAGAATCAATATAGATTTTTCTCAGTCAGAGTAAATTCAGATGGAACATAGTAAAAAAATGTAAATTCTTACCTCCGCCTAAAGAAAAAACATTACTTATAGTGAAAACCACCCTTGAATGATGGGATGGTAGACTATAAGCTTTAGGAATCCAAACTATAACATATAATAAGTACCTTGTATCAAGATTGAGGCAAAACAAGTGACATTTGACCTTTTTAGAGAGGTTTAGCAAAAAAAGGTTCCAGGCGGAATAAGCTTTCGGCAACATTTGGGTACATCTCGTTCCATCAGTGCCATTTGACCTTTTTCAGGTACCAGACTATAAAAATTGTGTATTACATTGAATTATCACCATAGGTATTCATTCCATCCAAAGAAAAAAAAAAAAAAAAAAAAAGAAAAATATATATATATATATATATATATATTAGGGCTGTCAGTCGATTAAAATATTTAATCGCGATTAATCGCATGATAGTCCATAGTTAATCGCGATTAATCGCAAATTAATCGCACATTTTTTATCTGTTCTAAATGTACCTTAGAGGGATATCTTTCAAGTTTTTAATACACTTATCAACATATGAGTGGACAAATATGCTTTATATGTTTGTTTATTATCATTTGAACAATGACAAATATTCTCATGAATATTAAACACAACAACCTGAACATTACAAATATTCGCCTCAATTCAACCTGGAACCTCTCTCATACAATAATACTGTGTGTGTGTGTGTGTGTGTGTGTGTGTGTGTGTGTGTGTGTGTGTGTGTGTGTGTGTGTGTGTGTGTGTGTGTGTGTGTGTGTGTGTGTGTGTGTGTGTGTGTGTGTGTGTGTGTGTGGAGACACTGTGATGGATCGTTGAGCTATGTGCAGCTCAAGGCATATATGCTCGAATGGGAGCTGCCTGGACGCTGCAATAATGTTGCGCTGACTTTTCGTACAATGTCCCACTGTCTGGCTACCTGCATAAAGTCAAGTGCTCGGCGCAGTTGTCGGCGAAATGTCATTGAAACAGCTCCTTATATCCGTTAGCGCAGCTAGCTAGCACCAGATGCTAACAACAACACGTAGGTGTGCCTCGCTCGCGCGAGTCGCGCCACACATACACACTCCCTCCCGGTCCTCCCGATGGCCAGTCCGGGCCTGCCAGTTAATTTTTTTTGCGTTAACGCGTTTTTAACGCGTTAACTTGACGGCCCTAATATATATATATATATTAGGGCTGTCAAGTTAACGCGTTAATAACGCGTTAACGCAAAAAAAAAATGAACGCCACTAATTATTTTAACGCGATTAACGCATGTGTATTTTTTGTCCTCGGCCGCCGTAGTTTCAGAGCGCATCGAGTGTAAAATACCATCGACAAGCTGATGCTGACAGCCCCGCTCCTGCCGCCCGCTTGTGGCAGACCACACTTCCACGCTCACTGGCAGGCCCGGACTGGCCATCGGGAGGACCGGGAGGGAGTGTGTATGTGTGGCGCGACTCGCGCGAGCGAGGCACACCTTACATGTTGTTGTTGTTGTTAGCATCTGGTGCTAGCTAGCTGCGCTAACGGATATAAGGAGCCGTTTCAATGACATTTCGCCGACAACTGCGCAGAGCACTTGACTTTATGCAGGTAGCCAGACAGTGTGACATTGTACGAAAAGTCAGCACACTCAGCACGGATAGTACGCGCAACATTATTGCAGCGTCCAGGCAGCTCCCATTCGAGCATATATGCCTTGAGCTGCACATAGCTCAACGATCCATCACAGTGTCTCCACACACACACACACACACACACACACACACACAACACACACACACACACACACACCACACACACACACACACACACACACACACACACACACACACACACACACACACACACACACACACACACACAGTATTATTGTATGAGAGAGGTTCCAGGTTGAATTGAGGCGAATATTTGTAATGTTCAGAGGTTGTTGTGTTTAATATTCATGAGAATATTTGTCATTGTTCAAATGATAATAAACAAACATATAAAGCATATTTGTCCACTCATATGTTGATAAGAGTATTAAAAACTTGAAAGATATCCCTCTAGGTACATTTAGAACAGATAAAAAATGTGCGATTAATTTGCGATTAATCGCGATTAACTATGGACAATCATGCGATTAATCGCGATTAAATATTTTAATCGACTGACAGCCCTAATATATATATATATATATATATATTTTTTTTTTGTGAAAAAAAAGGACCCCGCCGACGGGGTCTTTGGGGCTTATTCAATCATCAGGCATAATTGACCTACATTTGATTGATTTTACTAAATGAACTTGTAGTGAGGGGCCCAGCCATTAGTATAGGTTTCTTTACAGTATGTGGCCCTCGGGGGGGAAAACTTTGGAGACCCCTATTTTTAAAGATGTTGTTTTCCTTTCTCCTTCCTGGATGTGACCACAGATAATACCTGCAACAATAGAGAAAACTCAGGAAGAGAAATTCTCAGGAAGCTGGTATTCGCAGAAACGAAACCTAAAGTGCGCCACCTCAACCACACCAACAACTTTAACACGACCTTCGGAAACACCGACAAACCATTAGTTTTTCACAGTATGGCACAGAACACTATAAAGTAAACAACAAAAAAAGGGAAGAATTAAATAATTATTAACACACTTACCGCAAATATGAGGTTGAACATTAACAGCGTGTATTTGCAGAGGAGGCCACTTCCGTCCAGAGCCATGATGCTTATTTTACTGTAAATACAAGAAAACCAGATTATTTCCTCACTTATGCATATATTTTCTAATGCAAGCTTCTACCTATATAACAAACACACACATATACATACAAATAACAACCATTTAGTGTTACATTTTACGTCTAGATGCCATATTACGTTTTAACACGTTTAAATCATTACAACAGCGTTTTATCTTGTTAATATATCAAAGTAATGCAGCCAAAAAAACGGCATGAGCTTGAAATGTTATAAATACCTGGATATCTTTTGACGACTTTAATCCTTGCTGCTATCAGACAGAAAACACAACAGGATTAACACAGTCAACACAGCGTGCCTTTATTTAATACCCCAACGTCATGTCCCGCCCCTTCTCATTCGATTGGATGAAAGGATTGACGGACGAGAGACAACCTATAAGCAGGCGGTGGCGTAAAAAGTAGGCGGGGCTATATGAACATGACGGTTAGAGTTAAAGTTAAGGAAATTAGATCTCGGTGATCCCGCCGTAACCGGGGCAACCGCTGCAGCCGCCGCCAACAGCGTCAGGTGAGGTCACACACACACACACACACACACACACACACACACACACACACACACACACACACACACACACACACACACACACACACACACACACACACACACACAATGTCTACACTTTTATTAGCCCCGGGTCCAGTGGACCCAAACATCCTGTATGTAATTTAAGATCAAATCAGGGTTTGACACATTGTGGTCATTGTAAGAGAGCAGTGCATCCTGGTGTGTGTGTGTGTGTGTGTGTGTGTGTGTGTGTGGTTGTGTGGTGTGTGTGTGTGTGTGTGTGTGTGTGTGTGTGTGTGTGTGTGTGTGTGTGTGTGAGACTTTTGTGTTTCTGCCCCTGCCATTCCCGCACAAGGTTGCAACATTGTTGATGAATTCAAGCACGGACACCTGTCTGCTCTCACATTCCTGCATTATGTTTTGCGTGAACCAATCTTTATTTTTTTTCACACTCTATCCAAGCTGTACATTTGGGGCGAGACACAATAAATAAAGCTTCGCCAGTTTTGGTCCTTATCACAACTGATCAAGATGGCCAAAAGATGCTCAGAGGGCCTTGCAAATTATTTTGGAAGAGAGAGAACCATTTGATGATGATGTAGAGCACATGTGTCAAACTCAAGGCCCGGGGGCCAAATCAGGCCCGTGGTGGATTTAATTTCGGCCCGCAGGATAATTTCTAATTACTATTAGATCTGGCCCGCCGGTATATTGCACTTCACTCAATCCTGAGGGTTTCCTCAGCTCAGAGCCTGAGCCCAAACATTGATGAACTTGCACCCAAGATGAGATGCCAAGTATCTGGCTTGAACTAGCATCACAGAGCAGCACACTGAGTTTCAATGGATGTTTCCTTCTGCACTTTTTCTCTCACAGCAACAGGGCATGTTTGGTTTGTTCTTTGAGTGAAATAGTTTTGTTGAAGCTGTTGTTGGCCTGTGGAAAAATGTAATCATAAGAAATGACTCCGGAAAAGCAGCAGATAGAGCCATAAGAAATAAATGCAACTGATTATTTAAAGGGGACCTATCATGCAAAATGCACTTTTGTACGTCTTTTATACATGAATATGTGTCCCCAGTGTTCCAGGGAACTCACCAAGTGTCAGAAAACACAACTCTCTCTATTTTCCTCCATACCCAAATCTCTAAAAAAGGGGCTGCAACGGATCTGATAAAAACTGATTCAGATTTGAACACTGTCCTGACGTCAGGACGGTGGCGCTACGGCTATTGGGCCAACTCCACCAATCAGGAGGAGACAGCCACGGCCATTGCCGTTCGAAAGCGCTGGAGACGCTGTAGTACATATGCCAGGCCTGTAGATGGTGCTGTTCTCACAGAATCTGCCCTTGCTAAAACAGGGATAAAAAATGTCAAATTGAGCAAAATGAGGCATGGCTAAAATGCATGATCTGTTTGGTATTTTGAAAAAAAAAAAGTATAAATATGCCTTATATAGGTATGGTCCTACACTATATTATTATAATATAGCATGATAGGTCCACTTTAATGTTTAATGTTGTTTTTATAGGCAATAATTTAGGCTTTGTTAGTTCCAGGTTTAATATGTGCAATAAGTTCATTTCAATAAGTTCTGCAATAAACATTGAACCAGTCCGGCCCTCGACTAGTACCCATTTTTTTATTTTGGCCCACTGTGTATTTGAGTTTGACACCCCTAATGTAGAGGAAGAGGAAGGTGTTTCAGAATGTGAGGATCACATTTCTGAGAATTCAGAGTCTGACAGTGACTTTGAAGAAGAGGATGAGATTGAGCATCAGCTAGTTACAAAAAAAAGACGAGCCACAGGACCAGCCGGTCAGCGGGCAAAAAACAAGTAGCGCTTTAATTCATTCATGTGATCTAACAAATGTAAAAGGGCAAATATTAACCACATAGACTGTTTATATTGCTTGTAATTGGGATGAAGCAGAGCCGTATAATAGAAGAGTTACGACATCTCCGTTCACTCCAATGGACCAGTTTTTTTACAGCAATGGCGGATCGTGGAGCCGTCAATAGTTCCCCGGAAGTTAGCTTGCCGCTGACTTCCGGGGAACTATTGCGGCCAGCAACACAGTAGAGTTGCAGCATAATAGACCGTTCGTGATGGACTTTTAAAGGTAAGAAGACGTTTAAAGATTTATATTGCGGATATTATCAGCACATCTGAGTCAAATGAACATGTGTATTAAAGGATGTTAGTGGATTATCCCTAAATCAGTAGATTTAGGGAACGTTTAATGATAACAGATTAGGCTAGGATACCGGATAAAGTTAGCAACACACGTTAACCATGAACAGCTATTAATCCGTTCTCCTAATGTTATTTCATCCAACGTTGTGGAATTAGAGAAAAAGGGCTTCTAAACGTGATTTTTTTGTGGGGTGGAGGAATATAATATTAGTTAAATATAACATTGGGGCACGTGTGATTGTAATGAGTGGAGGTGGAGAAATTACGATCTCCATTTTGGAGTAGGCCTACAAACTAGTATAATAAAGTTAACGTTACACAATAATAAAGAAGAGAGCTATTTGTGTGATACATCGCTATTGATATTAATTTAGAGTGCATATTTGAGACTTCCAAACAGTAAACAAAAACGTAATTTATGGGTGAGTGTTTTTTAGTGTATTCTGTTGATTATTACCTGTCTGTATTATGTTGCAGCTCAGCTGATTTTGAAATGATGGCAAAGTGAGAGTGAAAACACAAGGTAAATGTAATACTACTGTTGTATATAAGTAAGCATACTAAAAATGTATTCTATCACTGTATTATATAAGTAATCTTGTTAGTGTATATTAGTAACCTACTGTATGGCAGGTGGAGGGGCAGTGATGTTACAGGTGGAGGAGCAGGGATGTTACAGGTGGAGGAGCAGGGATGTTGGCTGGGTGCTGGCAGGTGGAGGAGCAGTGATGTTACAGGTGGAGGAGCAGGGATGTTGGCTGGGTGCTGGCAGGTGGAGGGGCAGTGATGTTACAGGTGGAGGAGCAGGGATGTTGGCTGGGTGCTGGCAGGTGGAGGGGCAGTGATGTTACAGGTGGAGGACTTACTGGACATGTATACACTCATTACATACTGTACGTAAAATACGACCAAGAATGTGAGACAACTTTATACAAATTCATATCACATCCATTACTGATGCCATTTGTCATACTTTGTTAAACTCACAAATAATAAAGTTCCATAACTTCAGATGGAAACAAAGACCACACCTTATCTCCCCAAGGCAATTTCCCATCCAATAGGTGTGCTATATAGGTGTGTATAACCCTTTCTCCTGTCTGTTTCTCCCTCTTTCAGCACAAGAACCAGAGGGGATTCAATAGAGCCTGAATACCTGCACTGAGACCCTCACCCTGCACCCTGAGTCTCAACTCTCAGAGTTTTTTCAAGCCTTTCCCTGTTATTTGTATTAAACCAAACATTAAGCTTCCCAATGGTGTGGTCTTCGTTTTGTGAAAAAGTGCAAATGCAGTGTTTGAATATGATTACCTCACATATTTTGTTGCGGCTGTCTGTTTTGATTGTTAAATTGCTCCTGCTGACTTGAGCTAGCCATTTTTTCCTCCTCTCTGTGTCAGTGGGGAAGCCGTACATTCTGATTCTTACTCCTTTCTCGGAGCGATTGGAGCATCCCCAGGCAGCACAGCAAACCATGGTGGAGACTATATGCCAGGACAACACGGAGGAAAAGGCACAGACAAACTGCATGACATGCTATTCAATGTTTATTGAATTCCATGTATTTACAATGGATGTTCCTAAAACAACACTTTTAACGTCATAATCATGTTGCTGCTAGTCCATTGATAGTCACCTGTTGGTCTCCTGTCCTTTCTGAAAGTCATAACGATGACATTAGTCATTTAGATCAGGGGTTCCCAACCCCCGGTCCGCGGACCGGTACCGTGCCGCGGAGGTGTTACTGCCGGGCCGCGAAATAGCTGTGAGTTTATCGTAATATTTGCAGAATTATAAATATATAAAAATATTTTATCATAATATAAATTTTCGCACCTATGCCACCAGTCATATTATTTCATCCAGTAGCTAGTTAATCTTTCACCAGAAAACGGTTGAAAATGGCTTTTATGATGTTCCGAGGGATTCGACGGCTCAGCCTAAGGTCTCAGCCTCTTGTGCGCACGAGCGTACCGGTGCGCCAAGTAGGAAGAGGAGCGCACAGGAGACAACCGTTTGATTGCAGACTGTTATGTTTATGTGGGGAAATGGTGGTGCATACATTATTTGAGATATATTTCAAACTCGGACTTCATTTTAAGGACATGTCGGCCAGGGGTGTGGAGCTATTTGTTTAAGCACCAGATTGGCAAAACAGGAGAGTAAACCAGTCTGCCTTGATCTATGAATTAATGTCTGGGACTCTCACGGTATCTGCTGCCCGCAGCTGTTTTATAGAAGGAAACCCTCCTTCACTTCATGAAATGGCTGCAGCATCAGGAGGCAGCGGGACGTACTCGGTAAAGAGCTGTGCCTTTTTACGCACCGCCTTCGCTGTGTTTAACTTAATCAGAACAGTTTAAGAGTGACTGCAGGCTGCTACGTGTTAACCACACACACATCTACACACATCGAACTGCCCGATTACTCCCCCTTTTATTAGTTTTATGAAGGAGATGTCCAGTCAGTCACCAAGGCGCATGATGTGTGTGTGCTCTGCTCAGCTCTGCTCAGCTCAGCTCTGTGTGTTCGGTGTGTTTGTGTCTGTCCGACACCGGCATATATGCGGCTGTTCCCAAAATAAATTAGTTTAATCTTAATCTCGATG